ATGTAATTATGTTATGTTTTTGTGCTAATCTGCAAAATGTTCAAAATTCATACAGATTGTTCATAAAGTGAAGAAACATGAATAAAAGTTGTTTTGAAAAATGTGTCACTTTACCTAAAGAAAAACAGGGATGGACATTTTAACACTTTACTTAAAGCAAACAAAGACATGCTATATAACTTTAAACATTACTATAAGCTATTATTCCATTTTATATCACTAATTCTAAATGGTGACTAAAGTGTATTTATAATGAGGCAGAGTCGATGGTTATGTACTGTAACGTGATTACTGGTGTTATCAACAGTAATGCGTTACATTACTGTGTTACAGACAAAAGTAATTTGATTACAGAAACACGTTACTTTGTACTTTGTTACTTTCTACTTTCTTACTTTGTAACGTGTTACCCCCAACACTGCTCCTAACACATCAACTATGAGGACAAAATGATCACTTTGCTGCCTAATATATCCCACCCACCCACATGTGCCACGGTAACAAGATAATCTGTGTTATTCACTTCACCTGTCAGTGGTCATAATGTTATGGCTGATCGGTGTACATTGTGCATACATTTCTTTTATTGTGGACTTTTACAGTATATAGTACTTTTTACTGTCTGGGAATTTATTATCTGTTTAAGAAATCCAGGAAATGTTGAATAAAAAGTCCTAAATCTCCCCCATTCCAACTCTTTCACTGCTGCTGCTTTGTTCCTTTATTGTGTGCATCGTTTGCACACACGTGTGATGTATTTTTTAACTTTCCTCCTCAGAGTGGATGGAAGTGATTGTATTCAGATGTGAAAATGTCACTTTGAGACTTCAGGGTTTGTCAGCTCAGAGTTCAAGTTCAGACTTGGAATGAGTTCACAAAGCCCACAGATCACTTCTGAGGAAAGTAGGAGGTTCACTTTTCACATGTTTTTCAGGCCTGTTTGTCCAGTTTCTGTCAACATGAAGCCTCCTTGACAGCTTTATCTTGGAGAAAAATGTATGTGTCCCCAAAACATGTATGGGTGCAAGAGATGGCATCTGGTATTGTACTGGAAAGAGTAACTAACCACATAATTAGAGGAAAGGCAGGGAAATTTGCAAATGTGTGGAAACACAATTCTCACGCAAAACAAATCTCTATTATGATAATGTTGACTAGCGAGAATCATCTCCACCCAATTTATGCAACTCGGCATACGGTGTGATCGTAAAGTAACCCGTGTGCGCTAAGACTCAGCCAGCAGACCCGCTGGTAGAGTTTTGCATTATAAACATCTGAAACCTGAAGCACAATCTGGCTCTGTTTGGGACTGTGAGTTGCACTTCATCAGAGCTGCAGAAGTTTACATAAGGATTTGCGCTGAGATGTGAGAGGGGAGCACAGAAAAGTATAGGTCAGGTAGACTTTTTAAAAAATATTATGATTTCTTATTAAATAATGATGTAAGTCTTATAATATTACGATTTTCTTCTGGACATACAGTATAAATGAACAAAGATATGTGAGATGTGCAGAAAGTTTTGAACATGAGCAGAAAACCTGCTGAAACAAAGTCCAGGCGTATATAACTGAATTGAAATTAAATAATTTATAATAAAGTTAAAAAGGTGCCCCAACAGATAACTTTTCAGTCCTGTGCATAAATCTTTTAGTTGAATCAAGCAAAATATATTATTATTATATAAATTTATAATAATTTATTATGTCATCAACTACAATAGAGGATAATAAAGTAAAGAAACAACATTTAGATTTTGGGACGTTTTACATTAATTTCAGGACGGTTCAGGGACGGAGGTCAAAAAAGTTAGTCTGGAGCCCTGGTTTGTAATTTCCCACCTTGTGAGGAGACTTGTGAGTCTTCAGTGCAGTTTCTCTTGGCCTTCACCATGACCACTATGTGAAAGCATCATCAGAGTGGATGGAAGTGATTGTATTCAGATGTGAAAATGTCACTTTGAGACTTCAGGGTTTGTCAGCTCAGAGTTCAAGTTCAGACTTGGAATGAGTTCACAAAGCCCACAGATCACTTCTGAGGAAAGTAGGAGGTTCACTTTTCACATGTTTTCAGGCCTGTTTGTCCAGTTTCTGTCAACATGAAGCCTCCTTGACAGCTTTATCTTGGAGAAAAATGTATGTGTCCCCAAAACATGTATGGGTGCAAGAGATGGCATCTGGTATTTGTCACAGCCCGGCTCAAAGGCCATGACCAATGCTGAGAGGACACGCAGGATTACCAAAAGTAAACATATTTATTATAACAACTTAAACAATTAACGACTAATAATTAACAATGTAGATTGTGATAGTCAGTGATATCAGTGGTGTAAATGTGGATGAGTGACTAGTGTGAGGTTTGGTAGTTGAGGAGTGGTAACAAAACAAAGATGTGCTGCTTGGCAGGAGTGGGACCAGATCAGAGAGGGAAGCTCGAGAGCAAAAGGGCCGAAGTATTTATCCTCCAATCTGGCTTACGGGCGCTGATACCTTCAGGGACAAAAGGAGAACAGTAAACTGCCCACAACACACAGTTAAACACCCAACTAGGCAGACAGTATTGTACTGGAGAGACTAACTTACATACCCAGAGGAAAGGTAGGGGAATTTGAGATGGGAACACAATTTTCTTGAAACTGCTGTGTTGCTGAGTTTTTTTTGTGACTTTGTTGTCATTTTCTGCTTTTTTCTGTGTTGTTTGTAATTTCCCACCTTGTGAGGAGACTTGTGAGTCTTCAGTGCAGTTTCTCTTGGCCTTCACCATGACCACTATGTGAAAGCACTGGTCACTGTAAACTTCAAGGTCCTCCAAACTCTTGTCTTTGAGGCCGTCCAGAGTGGTGGGATTACTTTAACTTTGGGATGTGTTTGCTGCGATTCAGCTACTTTCTACCGTTCATACAACACTGTGCTTTTTTGCAAGTGCAGAAATGTTTAAATCCTAATTCTTAATCCAAAATTTAACTCTCTGTCTCACACACATAGAAACACAAATACCAACACTAGTTTTTCTGTCTATGTGGGGACAGGCACATCCCAATCTGGTAACAGAATCTCACAATAGGCCTGCTGTTGGAAGTCAGATTTTCAAAATATAAGCCCTCAGTTGGTAACAGGATCTTACCGTGTGGCCACGGACAGGGTTGAAGTTTTGAAATAAGTCATTAATTTCACATTTCTGCATTTTCAGCGATGCTTTGCATTTTATTCTTATTCTGTTTGTTTTTCGGTCGACTACAACTTCTGCATACCGAGCCAAAGCAACAGTTAAAATGTAAAAATGTTATGCTCTTTAAGAAGATTTATTTTTCAATTCCAACTCCCAAATCTGATTTTTTACTTTTCAGCTTCTTCAACAGTGCAGTCAATACATTTGAGATTTTCCAGACAAGGAATTTCTCTATTTAAAACTTTCTGTACATGGTGTACACATTTACTATTGAACATGTTATCACTGTAATTGTTTTACCTTTATATTGAAATAAATTTGGTCATAAAAATTGAGTTTGTAGTACAGTCCTGTATATAGTGTAAATTACTATGAATTGCTACTTAACACACATCAAGTTAGCTTTTGAGCTGGTCATGTCCAACTCAATACAGACAATTATTCCTCGAAATGACAAATCTAGACTAAACTGCCCGTTCTGTAGCTTTGTAAAGACAACACAAAATTAAGTAAACAGACATCTCTCAACACATACTCTTATGCAACACAATACATACTCTCATATACATTAGACAGGTACCCATATAAGTAAGCACACTGACGCCTTCTCACGATAGTTGATTGCACAACCACTGTTGGCTGCATTTCTCGCAATAAGTGTAGCGCAGCCCATTGCACATCGAGATATTGCACAACCCTAACATCCTTGCTGTTCCTAAGAAAAACATAAAGGGGGTTAAGTTGTGTAGTATACATTTATTTATGTTTAAAATATGCTGGTGTGGGTAGCATAAATGAGTAAAAACTTTTTTTAGGAACGGCAACTTTCACATTCCTTTTTTAAAACTGTACTTTTTCTCTTACTTTACTTTCACTATACCAGTAATCTACTTTTAACTTTGCTACATTTACTTAAAAGGTAAAATACAATTACTGAAAGCAGTTTCACCAGTTCCTCCCTCTCCCCACCCTAATGTCCATAATGGGCAAAAAAAGGAGAGAGATCTAACTGCAAGATATGGGCAAACTAAGAGGACAAAGCACATCATATAAAGTATATTATTCTCCTGCCTAAATTGCCTTGCATTCAGTTAGTTTCGGGTACCCAGATTTGAGTGGTTTACAGAACCATACAAGAAATCTAAACACCAACCAATGCCAGCAAACAACAAACAGCCCCAGAGTTTTCCAGCAAACGGCTAAACATTTATTAGCTGCAATAGGGCTAGTCTGACAGAGTGAACATTGTCCATCATATCGACTGTTAAGACTGAGA